TGAATGCGTATGTATAGCAATGGTGCGTCGATGTCGTCATACCGTTGCGTCTTGAACTCGCGGTCGATCTTCGCGATGAAAGCGTGAAGGTCGACAACCTCTCCTCCGGCGTCCATCAACGGAGCTGGTACTGCAATGTGCAAGTAGTCCCGCAATTGTGCCATAAGCACATTGCAATGCGGTTTCGGCAATCGTCCGGTCGAGGGAACGGGCATCCACTGAAAGTCCGTGAATGTCAACGGGTCGAGCTCATCAAGTCTTGACCATGACGTCGAATCCCCGGCGATGGGTTGCAGCGAAGCTGCCGAATCGGTTGCCGATGGTGATGAAACCGTGCATGATGTGGACTGTTGCACGTGGAGCGGTTGGTCCAGCGGTGGAACCAAGTGGACAGCATAATCCTCGTAAGTATACCGAGGACTTGCGACATTCGCGTCCTCCCCAGATGTGCAGGAGGCCGCTAGCAAGGCGGCCGAATCTGGCGGAGTAGAAGGTGGAGTCGCCTCACCTTCCGCGGAGCTCAGTTTCCCGAGCTGAGGCGGGGTCGCATATCCTCCTTGCCCTGATCTTGGCACAGGGAGGTCTTGTGCTTGGTGTTGTTGCACCAATAGCAGCTGTCGTAGCGGCCGCGGACTTTGTACTCCGCCTCGGTCAAGCCGAACTTGACCCATGGAACTTGTACTGGTTGTCAATTTCCGACCTGCGATGCGGATTTCGCCTTCCCATTCTTGCGGGACTTGTTGTTGCTTCGCGGCTGGACAGCAGCCACCTGATCTCCGTCACTTGATGCTGGAGTGGCTGCTGGGTTATCTCCACTGTCCTGCTGGACTGCAGSGAAGTGCTGCTGTCGCGGACCAGTTCGTGCCTTCTCCACATAGGTCGGCTGCCATGTTGATTTCTCRTGTGCAGCTGACCTGTTGGTCTTGATGATCTCCCTCGCTTTGTCAATGATCTCCGCGAAGGTTGAGTACTGCTCGCGATCACCAAGGGCCTGGCTCAATGCCTTCAATGCCGCACAGGACCTGTTGTAGAACTCACGGCGTAGATGCTCGAATGGTAGGTTCAGATTGGGCACAACAGCAATCTTCTACCACTCCGTGAGCCAGTCCCGTGTTGCTGTGTTGCCCTGTGACATGGTGAACAAACGGTTGATGGCGATTGTCGGTGCGTCGTCGACGATGAACCGCTTCTTCCACAGCCGTGTTAGTTCCTCCCATGTGATTACGTCCTTCAAGTCTAGTACGTCGACGCCGTGGAAGGTTGCCTGGTGGCTCAACCAGGTCTGGCATCCGCCCTTTGAGTTCAGGAACAGGGCGCCGATGTACGCGTGCTTGGCTACTGGCAGAATCCTGAGTTGCGTTGTGAATGCTTCCCACCAGAGGACGGGATCCTGCTGCGTGTAGTCGTCGAACCTCTCCAGGTTGAAAGTTGGCATCTTGTACATCTTCCGATTGTCGTCTGCGTTCGTCGACTGCAGCTTCTGGACCTCGGTCTTCAATGTATGCAGCTGATTGTTGATGGTGGTGGTCGGCGCAACGAAGGTGCTGATGTCGCCGAGCATTGCCACTACGTGGTCAACGCGGTCCTCCAGTTGGCGGCTTGAGGGTGCACTGCTGGAAGCTCCAGCAGCTGGTCCTGGTACTGCCTGTTCCAGGTCCAACAATCGGGCATTGAGTGCCCGAGTTGCATCCTCGTGGCTCTGCACTGTGCGGCGGAGCRTCGCCAATTCCTGATGTTGTCTCTCCAACTCTGACCTTTGGTAGTTGCAAGCATACCACAACCATGTCACGAGTTTGGAGAGGAACTCCTTGTGCTTTTCTTCCGGTGTTGCGTCGTCGCCGTTCGGTTGAAAATGCCAGTACTTGAGTCTGTCGATGCTGTTGGCTTCATGCCGCTGCAGCAGATCCTGGGCTTCCTTTCGGCGAGCCTGGGCATCTGCTTCTGCATTGGCCTGTAGCCGCAGTTTCTCTGCTGCTGCTGCCTCTTCAGCTTGTATGCGGGCAGCCTCGACTGCCAGCAGGCGTTGTTCCTCAGCCTCTATCTGAGCCAGGCAACGCTGCTTGTAGGCGGCAATGGTCTCATTGGCCAGCTGACCTGGCAGGCAGGTCATGTTGCTGACGTGGCAATGCTGCTTACGTGGCACTGCTGATGTGGCACTGCGTCTGACGTGGTACTGCTGACGTGGCACTGTGTTGAACGTCACTGCTGACGTGGCACTGTGTCTGACGTGGCACTGCTTACGTGGCACTATGTCTGACGTGGCAATGTGACCTGGCACTGCGGACGTGCCACTGCTGATCTGGCACTGCAGACGTGGCAATGTGACCTGGCACTGCGGACGTGCCACTGCTGATCTGGCACTGCAGACGTGGCACTGCTGATCTGGCACTGTGACGTGGCACTGCTGACGTGGTACTGTGACTTGGCGCTGTGACTTGGCACTGTGACGTGGCACTGCTGACGTGGCACAGCTGGTCTGCACTGCTGACGTGGCACTGTACCGAAACGGRATGCATGCAAGGGGTGGGTGGGAGGGAAAACGGAGGGAGGTAACCAACCCAACAATGCTTTCCTCCGGCCCTAATCAACAGATAAAATAAAAAATAAAAAATAAAAGAGGACTATTTCCTTTTTTTTTTTTTTTTGTATATATCGTCACAATATCTGTCGATTTATGATGAGTAGGATATGTCAGAAGAGTATAATGAACGAGATCTAGGCTAGGTCCCGCAAAGTTTTGGCTTTTACAAACTGCGATCTTGAAAAACAAAATTTTGCGAAATGGAGTAAAGATGCGATTTTCAGAAAAGAACGAAATCCAGTTTCTGATAATATAGCAACCTCCGAATATGCCTACTGCAATATTGGTAGGCTTCGCAAGATTCGGTTTTCAAAAAAAAATTTGGGAGATAGAATGGAAATGCGATTTTCAGAAAAGAATAGTTTCAGTTTCCGAGAATATGACCACTTCTATCGTTATCCCAATATGCCTAGAGATCAAAAATATTAACTTCAGAAATTTCAGCTATGTATGCGAAATATCAGAGAAACGAAATGCTACTATCGGGAATTTTCAGACAAAACGAAATGCGATTTATCAGAAATTTTCAGATATTTGTTACGTAAAAACGAACTACTAAGATAGTTGTTGCGAGAAAAAAAATTTCAGAGATTTGACTAAGTCCTACTTGCATTACTAATGAGTGATCAATAGATCGCGAGCTGGCTACTTGATTGAGCGGGTCCTCTGTATGAGAGGTCCGCTCCGATACCAAACTGTTGCATACCGTATAGGTGCAGACCAGAACAAGAACCAACCTTTCCATACAAAGTATAAGATAGCACAGCGGAAGACTTAGATACCAATGATCCGAACAAGCAATGTTGTAATGCAGCCCTGAACATACATCATCATCATYGTTTCATAGTGTGAATSGGTCTGGCGCTTCACCCAGGAAGACAGCGCCAGCCCAGAACATGCACAGACGAGGAGGAAGGGGATAGACGAAGAGGAGGGAGAAGATGGGAATGTCGTCAACACCAAGTCTTCGGCACAAGCCCAAATAGTCCCTCGTCGAACTGTCTGAATCCCAAATGTCAAGTCTGGATCCAATGTCGTCAAGTCTCAAGTCACAACTCTGTCTCTCTCTGTCGTAGTCTGAGAAGTCAGGTGGCGAGAGGGTGAGGAGAGAAGGTGGACTTAGAAGAGGAAKAAGAMGAACTCTCTCTCTCCCTGTGTCCAGTACTAACCTGTGAAGTTGGCGCCTTGATGCAGGTACCACGAAGCTGGAGCTGGAGCGATGGCGCCACAGGTAAGTAACACTGGCCTCCGCCAGTCTTTCTCCACTCTACGATCTACTACCTACCAGCGCCCAGCGCTGAAGACTACAGCTACAGCTATGGCGCCCAGCGCCGAAGACTACAGCTAGCGCTACCACTACTGCCTAGCGCTGAAGACTACTGCAGCGCTCCTCCTGAGTGCTGCGGCCGAATCCTGAAGACTACCTCTGCATACTGACTCCTACCCGTGAAGTGCATGGGAACCTCCTATGTACTACGGGTGTGCCTCTCGAGCCTGCCGAAGGGAGGCAGGGGCTGCAGCTGCAGCTCCTGCTCGAGTACGTGAGGAACAGGCTATTTTGGGCCTGTTCCGCATCCCTGTTTCCATGCCTGAGTCTTAGGAGCAGGTCGAAACAATGAGGGCCTGAAAATGGCCCTCCGTTTCAGGCTGAAAACTCTGGGTCTGAAAAGACCCAGAAATAGGCTGAAACGAGGTAGGGCCTGCAGGCCCTCGTTTTTTTCAGCATCCAGGCTGAAATGAACGGGGCCTGTAAGCCCTAAGTTTTAGGCTTTTGGCTGAATGTCCGGGGCGGGCCCTGTAGGGCCCGTGTGGCTACGCAGTATGCCACATCAGTACAGCTAATTGGCTCTCGGCAGTAGACGCCTAGTACACAAACAAGTACCTTGAGTCTGCAGAAAGTTTACCTCGAGGCCGCAGAAAGTTTACCTTGAGTCCGCATCTAGACTTCCTGCAGACCAGATGCGGACTCAAGGTACTTCACAAAATTATGATAAGACAAAGTGCAACCCACCATACAGAGCCACAGTAATGCCCACGAGTCCCACCCACAAACGTCCCACAACAATCCCACACAGTCATGCCCCACAAAAGTTCCACGAAAACACACAAAAGACCCCACACAAATGTCCTTCGCAGAGATATGCTCCCCCAAAAGGGAGGTAATTTTCTCCCCCTCTTTTTGAGGACCCCATCTCCCTCTGTCATTGGGCACTCTATCTCCTCATTCTGGGGTCCTTTTCCTTTTCTTAAATCCCCTCTCCCCTCTCTTTTTTTTTTTTTTTTCTTTAAACCACCAGTAAGTACATGGGCACCTGGGCCGCGGGTCTGACACCCCAAATTCTGGAGGCGCGAAACGAAAACGGGGCTGCAGATCAAATTCATCAATCAACGGCAGGCCCAGCATTTGACGTTTCGGCCTCGCTCGTTTGTACATGGGCACATGGGCCGCGGGTCTGACACCCCAAATTCTGGAGGCGCGAAACGAAAACGGGGCTGCTGATCAAATTTATCGATCGGGGCTGCCGATCAAATTTGTCGCCGATCGAATTTATCAATCAACGGCGGGCCCAGCATTTGACATTTCGGGCTCGCTCGTTAGTACATGGGCACCGGAGCATGGTCTGACACCCCAAATTCTGGAGTCGCGAAACAAAAACGGGGCCGCCGATCAAATTGATCAATCAACGGCGGGCCCAGCATTTGGCGTTTCGGCCTCGCTCGTTTTCTTGTGGCGACAAGTTTKGGACTGCAAGGCTGGGGACGTGTACTTGTGGTGGTTAAAGGGGCCCCTCTACACTATTTGTTAGGGGCCCATCTCCACTATTTGCTAGCGGTCCATCTCCGTACTTTTCAAGGGGGGCCATCTCCTTAATTTTGAGGCCCATCTATCCGTCTTTGCTCCAGGAACGGGGGGAAGGAGGGGGGCGGGGGGGAGGACCGCCCGGGGGCACCTCCCTTTTTTGGTCCCTTATATTGATTGGGTCCCGTCTCCCTTCTGTTCTAGGGACACGTCCCTCTTCTAGGGGGAACCCCATCCCCCCTCTTTCTCTAGAGATCTCATCTCCTTATTTTCTAGCGCCCATCATCACATTCTTTTTTCTAGGGGCTCTTCTCAATCTGGCCATCTTAAATGCATCTGTCACCTAAAAAGGACCATATACACATACATACTCGGCTTTGACAAATGGTCACCAACTATTGTACAGACACAGACCTCAAATCCTTCTTTCTTATCCATAAACAGATTTCAGCCCCTCACGTCTGTCCACAATGCAGAGCACAAAACATCCCACCAACCGATGGGCCTTGCTCAGCTGGTACCTGCGTTTGAACCCAGATTGAATAGAACGCCCTGTCATTATAGCTGCTGTATTTGGCACAACTTTCGGTCCAGATGCAGCGATAATGACCGGGCGTTCTATTCGGGTGAAGACCGTAGTTCAATCTGGGTTCGAACAAATAAATGCCGGTCAGTTTTCACGAGGGTGATATCTTTTTTTTCACGAATTTCCTGTCATTGAACTAGATGAACGATATTCCTGAATTACCTGGGGCAGGTCAGTTTTCACGAGGGTGATATCTTTTTTTTTTTCTTTTTTTTTTTTGTGGGGGGGGGGGGAATGATGACGATATCTCGATGCCGCCGCCCTTTATTTTCCGAAAAAAAAAAAAAAAAAAAAAGCCATTTGTATCTAGAAGTAATTAAAAGTCGTCATAATTATCATCCACGATTCAAAAATTGGCCCACCAGTCATTCTTCATCCATAGAAATTTATTATTAGTATTCATTTTCTTTAAAATTTTGACTTAAAAAATATATATCGCCGGACTCAAATTGATTTTTCATATGATATGAATATATATAATAAGCTGTTTTTCCCAAAAAAAAAAAAAAAAAAAAAAACCTCCAAACATAGCTTCGGTGTCTTAGGAGTATTGGTAGGTAGGTAGCGAAGGTGAATTGAAAGAAATTTAAAAGATGATGTAAGATTTGAGAGAAGAATAATATAGCGTAGTTCCAAAAAAAAAAAAAAACGTACGATTGTTTGTCTCCTTCCCCCTTTTGAAAAAAGAAGGGGGAGAGTGAGGGAGGGGGGGGGGGGAAGAGGGGGGAACAAAAAAACAGCACTGAGAGATGCCTCTCTCGGCCTTTTACGCTTTTCTTCAGCTCTACCAACAACCATGCATGGACTGTTGAAATATGAATCAGACCCGAGTTCGAATCCAGATGCAATCAGAAGATCAAAATGAAACAATTGTGAATTACCTGGGGGAACCAGTCAGTTCAATGTTGCCCTTTCAAGAAAAGAAACAAAAAAAAAAGAAAAAAAATCTGTTTTAAAAATTCCAAAGATGGCATTTACCCCCCTCCCCACAGCTACGTCCAGACCGAACAGAAAAAAAAAAAAAAAAAAAAAACACGTATGTCCCCTGGACGTATCAGCCCCGTCCTTGCTGACGTGTCAGTGCCTCCGTGTTGACGTGTCATCCGCCTCGCAGTTTCCAAATTAGGAAATCTCTGAGCTGTTATGTGCCCCTCATGGATGTGACGAGTGTCCAGATGAGACGGGTAGAATTCAGAATTTACCGCGAGGGGCATTTTTGCAACTGGCCAACTTTCATATTATATTTATATTAGTTATATTATTATATTTATATTAGTTACATTAATTTTCGAAGGCATACTATCCCCACATTTGTGCTTGCCATCTTGGTCCGGGGGGGGGGGGCGGAAACAGCACTTGATGACTTTCTTTTTTTTTTTTGGGGGGGGGGGRGGGGGGGGGGGGGGAACACCAGATTCGCTTCTTGGTTCAAAAAAAAAGTAGCCCTGAAAGTTTCGCCCAACGTTTTTTGACTTTTTATTTATAAAAAAAAAAAAAAAAACATAAAAAGCTACTCGAATTTCTTCATTATTAATTTATTAGAACGTAAAATTTGTTTAAAAATTAGCACACAGAATAGTGAAAAAAATGCCGAATAGAAATGTCGGCTGGGAAACTCGAAACAAAGCCATTTGGTTGCCCCTGATGTAGGGGAAGGCCAGGCATCGTCATTCTTCGGGAAGGGCGTAGCAGTGATTAGGTGGCAAGAGTGATGATGGTGTTAACCATAGCTTGCTATGGTTGTCTCCAGGATGATGCTTCGGTGTGTATGAGACTTTGAGCACAATTAGCGGTGATTAGGCGGTTACGTGTGCTGGCGTCGGGTCAGTCTTGTGCTGATTGAGTCAGTAGTGTCTTCACTTGACAACACAACAATGTCCCTAAAAGGGAGAAAACGAGGGCTAAGAAGCGCGTTAGAAACAGAGAGAGAGAGAGAGAGGAGGAGGAGAAAGAGAGGAGGAAGAGGAGGAAGAGAAAGAGAGGAGGAAGAAGAGGAGGAGAAGAAAGAGAGCAGGAAGAGGAGGAGCAGCAGGAGGAGGAGGAGGAAGGAACAGTAGGAAGAGGAGGAAGAGGAGGAAGAGGAGGAAGAGGAGGAAGAGGAGGAAGAGGAGGAAGAGGAGGAAGAGGAAGAGGAGGAAGAGGAAGAGGGAGAGGAGGAAGAGGCGGAGGATGAAGGGAAGGAGAAGTAGGGGAAGGAATATAGGAGCAGGGAATAAGAGGAGGAAGGAACGGGAGGAAGAGGAGGAAGAGGAGGAAGAGGAGGAAGAGGAGGAGAGGAGGAGAGGAGGAGAGGAGGAGAGGAGGACGATGATGAGGAGGAGGAGGAGACGGAAGAGGAAGGGGAAGAGGAGAAGAGGAAGAGGAAGAGGAGGAAGAGGCGGAGGATGAAGGGAAGGAGGAGGACAAGGAAGGGAATGAGGAGGAAAAGTCAAGGAAGAGAAGAAGAAGAAGAAGAGAAGTAATCGAGAAGGAGGAGAGGGGGAGGGTGTAGGAGAAGGAGACACGAAGGAGGAATAGAGAGAAAGAGGAGGAGGAGGAGGAAGAGGAGGAGGACGAAGAGTAAGACGAGGGGCAGCAGCAGCAATAGGGGTGATGATATTTTGCAGCGGCAACAGATGACGGGGGCGCTGACAGAAGGCGAGTGGAAGCAGGGACAGGACAAGAGGGAGGAAAGACGAAGGAGAAGAGGAAGGAGAGGGAGGGAAGAGGAAGAGGGAGGAGAGGGAGGGAGGAGGAAGAGACAGGTGAAGAGGAAGGAGAAGAGGAAGGAGGGGGAGGGAGGAGGAAGACGGAGGAGAGGGAGCCAGGAGGAAAAGGAGAGGGAGGGAGGAGAAAGAGGGAGGAGAGGGAACAACTACCGAATCACGACTGTGTATTCCAGAACGATAGGACGGAGGCAAAAGAGAGAGCGAGAACGACACACAGAGAGGGAGAATGAAGAGAGAGAGGGAAGGAAGAGAAAGAGAGAAAGGAGAGAGAGAACGTAGAGGGAGAGAGACGCAGGCAAAAGAGAGCGACAACGACAGGGAGAGAGAGAGGGAAGGCAAGGAAGAGACAGGGAAGGAGAGATAGAGAACGAAGAGCGAAGGTAGAGAGGGAGAAGGAACAGAGAGAGAGAGAGAGAGAGAGGGAGCGAAGAGAGGGAGAAGGGAGACAGAACGTGGAGAAGGGAAGAGACGGAGGCAAAGGAGAGAGAGCGACAGCAACAGAGAGTGAGAAGGAAGAGAGAGAGAGAGGCAAGGAAGAAAGGGAGAAAGAAGGGAGAGAGAGAGAGAGCTTGACGAGGGAGAAGGGGAGAGAGAGAGAGAGAGAGAGAGAGAGAGAGAAAGGAGTCGACCGACATGACAGCCACTGAGACAACGACTTCACCCGAATACAACGCACGGTCATTATCGCTGTATCTAGACTGAAAGCTGGCCCGAATACAGATACAATTACCGTGCGTTCTAGTACGGGGAAGAAGGTGTCGCTCATCACCACTTGTTATTCGAAGAGACAGAGAAAAAGAGCGACAGAAAGAGAGAGAAAAAGACAAAGAGAGAAAGAGAGAAAGAGAGAAAGAGAGAAAGAGAGAAAACGAGAAAGAGAGAGAAAGAGAAAGGAGAGTGGGAGATAGAGAGAAGAAGAGAAAAGAGAGAGAGAAAAAGAGAAAGAGAGAAAGAGAAAAAAAAAAGAGAGACAGAATGAGAGAACGAGAGATGAAGAGAGAACGAGAGATGAAGAGAGAAAGAGAAAAAAGAGAGACAGAGAGAGAAAGAGACAAAGAAGGGACAAAGTGGGAGAGAGGACATATGTCACACATCCCACACATCAAATAAGTGCGTGACATCTCTCACCCCGTTATTCGAATAAAACGCATATGCTTTATTTCCGTACACACTAGTCGCAGTTGATTCCAACGTAACACACGTACGAAGGAACGCCCAAAAAAAAAAAAAAAAAAAAGGTGTGAAGGAGCGTAATCAGAGCGAGAGGACGAAAGAGCCACCCAACCTTGTTCTTTTCTTTGGTTTTTTTTTTAGCCCCCAGCTCGTTGTGGCGTCCTTTTTTTTAAGGAATTGAACTCATGATCTGTTTACACACGTCACACCATTCTTCTTCTTTCCTAATGTGTACCATTCAGCCTTACATGGGCCAGGTACAGACCAACCAGTTTTGCGACGATGACAGGAGGAGAAATAAGGAACGCAGGACAAAGGGGAAGACAAGGGAGAGAGAGAGAGAGAGAGGTGCGCTTTTTTTTCCGCTTTATCATTTTTTTTAAAGCAACGAAGCAGCCGCATAGTGAATGGAAAATAAGACTGACGTAAGACAGAAGCCGGGGTAAAAGAGAGGAGGGAGAAGGGGGCACACGGAGCGGAGAGGGGGAAGGGAGGTGGGGGGCGGAAGAGGATAAGGGAAGAAGGGGGGGAAGTGGGGGGAAGGGTGTGCACACGGGCACACACACACGTCCATTACAATGCAGCAATGAAATTCGAGAAATTCGAGAAATTCGAGAGCTCGTGTGAAATTTGTGTGAAAATCGTGTGCAAGTTCACGCACGAAATTCGCGTGAACTTCATGTGAGATTCGTGTCAAATTCATTCCAAATTCGTGTGTGAAATTCGTGTGAAGTTCGTCTGAAATTCATTCGAAATTCATTCGAAATTCGCGTGAACTTCGTGTGAAATTCATTCGAAATTCGTGTGTGAAATTCGCGTGAACTTCGTGTGTGAAATTCGCGTGAACTTCGTGTGAAATTCGTGAAATTCGTGAAAAAATCATGAAATTTGTGTGAAATTCGTGAATTTGCGAAATCGAAATTACGGGGCATCCGCAGCTGGACCTCTCTTTCTTTTTTCTTTTTTTTCTTTTTTTTTTCTTTTTTTTTTTCTTTTTTTTAAACAAACAACCTCTCTTTTTCCTTCCTTACCTTTCTCTTCTTTTTTCCTCTCCTTTATTTTTCCTCTCCTTTTTAATCCTTTTTTTAAATGCTTTTTTCCCCCTCCTTTTTCGGAGGAGTGGTGTAGATTTTTAATTAACGGGAAGAAGGGAAACAAACACGAGTGAATAAACAAAATTACGAGATTAAAATTTTAATTAACTTTTTTTTTCCTATTTTATTTTTTAATTATTTGTAAATTTATTTTTTAATTTATTTTTAATTTATTTTAGGGAGAAAAGAAAAAGAAAATACGTGAACACTATGATGGGGGGTATGAATAGTTCAAGATTTTTAGATTTTGTTTTTCCTTTTTTTTTTTTCCTAATAACAACAGGCGGCGAAGGCCGGGGAGGAGGGGGAGGGAGGGGGGAGGGGGGAGATGTTAATAAAGATGACGACAACAACCAGCGCACGGAGACGAGCGCTCGCATGCCCACGCGCTCCCCCGAATAGAACGTACGGTCATTATCGCTGTATCTAGACTGAATTTGGGCCAAATGCAGTCATAATTACCGTGCGTTTATTCGGGTGAAGACGGATAGTCACCCGGCGCAGGCGATCCCCCTGACGAGCGCTAACTCGCGCACGTGCTGTGGCATGCAAAACCGCTCCCATGGCTGACTACAAAGGGGCCAGGTGAAGAGCACGCGCCGGTTTGCGCCCTCGCGCACGGGCTGATACAACGAGCCAAATTCTCGCTGTGCGCGTGCGCGTGCGGCGCTCAAGCTGCGCAACAGGCGCGAAACGAGCACGGCAGAAGAGGGGACGGAGATGACCCAAATATGAACTGCGCCGGAAAAGGAGAGGGAGCGACGGGGAGGGGAGGGGAGGGGAGGGAATGGAGATAGCTTGGAAAACGACTCTCTCTCTCTCTCTCTCTCTCTCTCTCTCTCTACCCCCGGCCTTCCCCGTTGTGCGGAGTTCCGCTCGTTCGTTGGGCGCAATGCGCGAGGCAGTTCGCTGTCCTCCCTGTCGAGGAGCTGACTGCTGTTCACCGACCTGTCCACGTGGCAGCAGCAGAATAGCAAAAAGAGAAGAGAAGACTACCGTCTTCACCCGAATAGAACGCCCGGTCATTCCCGCTGCATCTGGACTGAAAGTTGATTCAAATGCAGCTATAATAACCGGCCAGGCGTTCTATTCGGGTGAAGACGGTAGTCTAGACCAACAAGAAGAACAGGATAGAATAGGAAAATCTAAGAGGAGGAGAGAAGACACACGCAAAAGGAGGAAGTAATAGGGGGAGTAGAGGTGCCGGGGGCGGGAGGGGGGGGGGGGCACAGATAAGCGTGAATACCCACCCAGCTGAGGCAAGGCGGTCGATGGGGGACGATGAAGGATGATGGAGGGCGATGGAGGACAAACAGAGGGCAATGGAGGACGATGGAGGGCGATGGAGGACAATGAGGACGATGACGGCTGATGGAAGACGACGGAGGATGATGATGGAGGACGATGGAGGAAGAACAGACGGCGATGGAGGACTACACAGAGGGCGATGGAGGACACAGAGGGCGATGGAGGACGGCGGAGGAAGATGTAGGACAAGCAGAGGACGATAGAGGTCAATGGAGAACGAGTCGTCGGCGATGGAGGACAATGGAAGACGATGGAGTATCATGAAGGGTAATGGAGGACGAGCAGAGGGCGATGTCGGACATGGAGGACGAACAGAGAGCGATGAACGACGAAGGGAGGGCGATGGAGGACAATGAGGACGATGACGGCTGATGGAAGACGACGGAGGATGATGATGGAGGACGATGGAGGAAGAACAGACGGCGATGGAGGAYGACACAGAGGGCGATGGAGGACGACACAGAGGGTGATGGAGGACGGCGGAGGAAGATGTAGGACAAGCAGAGGGCGATAGACGACAATGAAGGACGCGTCGACGGCGATGGAGGACAATGGAAGACGATGGAGTATCATGAAGGGTAATGGAGGACGAGCAGAGGGCGATGGCGGACATGGAAGAAGACGGAGGACAGTGGAGGACGAACCGAGAGCGATGGCGGACATGGAGGACGAACAGAGAGCGATGAACGACGAAGGGAGGGCTGTCTCTTATACACATCTAGATGTGTATAAGAGAGAACCGAGAGCGATGGCGGACATGGAGGACGAACAGAGAGCGATGAACGACGAAGGGAGGGCGATGGAGATGGGCGATGGAGATGTGCGATGGAGGGCAACGAAGGACAGTGGAAGGGAATGGAGGACGATGGAGGAACGAGCAGAGGGCCATGGTGGACAATGGAGGAGGACGAACAGAGAGCAATGAACGACGAAGAGAGGGCGATGGAGGTGTGGGCGATGGAGGTGGGCGATGGAGTATGGAGTACGCATCTCACCCCTCTCACAGAAGATTGAACTGTGCCCACTTTCTCGTCCAGATGCACGACAAGCACTACTCCGTCGTGCTGTATCGAGGACGATGGAGGCTGCTGGATGATGGATTACGTGGCTTAGCCAGCTGTGCTGGTGTGGGCAATCAATCCCTCCTTGGAGGTGTGGGTGGGTGTGGGCGGTGTGCTCAACACCTGCCTGCTCATCGTTGGCGGCGTGCTCGGCTGGGCGGCTGGCTAGCTGGCCAGTCACGCACCCCCACCTCGCTCCCGCCGTCGGGGGACCTATCCGTCCACCCGCCCACCGACCGATCGATCGACCGACCCGTCGACCAAACTGCTCTCCCAACGACCGACCCAACGACCGCCCACGACCTCCAACATTCGAAATGCCCTGGACCTTGCCGTTGTCCTTGTACATTCAAAGGGACCTATCCGTCCACCCACCCACCGACCGACCGACCGACCGACCGACCCGTCTACCAAACTACCGACCCAACGACCGACCCAACTACCGCCCACGGCCTCGCTGCAATACACAACATTGGAAATGCATTTGGACCTAGCCGTTGTCCTTGTTCGTTCAAAATGTTCGATCAGATCGAATGTATCTGGACTTCAAAACGTACGGCTACAGGTTGAATGTTGAGTAGTGGAGTGAGGGGCGAGATCAAGGTTTGTAGGCCCCGCCTCCTCCCTCCTCCTCCTCCTCCTCCCTGGCCAGCGTCCCAGGGGTGAGCTCCCATACCCCCCCCTTCATTGTCTCCACACTCTTCATCCTGGACCGTAGATGTTGGATTGGATGTTTTTATTTTGGCCGTCGATCATCTCAGGACGTACTCACGCTTGGTCTATCTTAGATGTATCTGACCGCATTAACGGCCGGACATAAATGTATGTGACCGTGACTACGTCTAGAAACAAGTAAGAACGTCCTAGCCCTTTTACCGTCCAAAAGGACGGATCCCGATGAGCGGGACCATAGATCCTGCCTGGTTACACTAACGTCCCAAGCTCAGTTGGTACCCCCATGAACTGGGGCTAGGTCCCACTTACACGAATTAAGCGATATTGACCGTAGATTGCAAAGATCAACGGCCAGAATCTCTTAATCCGTGCAAGTCGGACCTTGCCCCTGTTGAAATACGGACCCTAAGTTCGAATCCATATCATGGAGCATATGGAATCAGATGAGCAGAATAAATATTTATAATTCAAAAAAAAAAGGATAAACCCTGGTTACAGCTGAGATGGGAGCTGTACTTATCTTATCTGATTCTCTCTCTCATTTCTGTTTTTTCCTCAATGAAAAAGAACTACACTACAAAAACAAAACAGAGGAGCCCATGTGGCTAAAGGATACACACATATGTCTGCAACTAGCGACGGGCGAGCAAGGAGATGCCCCCCATATGAAATGTAATCTGCTTACCGTGGGCTCAAATTCGGCAAAATAGGTGCTCCAAAGACATTGAGGGGTTACCCCGGCTTACGAAAGAAAACCGAAGAGAGGGGGAGAAAAGAGACACGAATAAGAGAACGAAGGGCTACTCGATTTGTCTTGAAAATTGAGAGTGAATAAAGAGCTGGCAGACACTCCATTTCAGTTGAAATAAGGGCCTCGTTCGACATATTCTCGATCCGTAACCCTCCCGAAACACCTTTCCGTTTTCCTTTGTGTAAACCACCCACTACCTTCCGGAGTGGAAGGCTAAGCCGTGAATATAACATACACCTCATGCTTCGGAGGCCGAGCACCACCGCACCGAAATGGCTGGTGGCGCCAGCCAAAACGAAAGGAAAAAGCTCCCGGTTGTGCTTCGGCAAGCTTGGCACACAGTTATGCTCCATCGAGGCAAAAAGAGGCTCCAAGATAGTGTCCTTGCCGGTATACATGGTAAAAGCATTTTGATTCTTGCCTGGGCCGATAGCAAAACGACACGCCACTTTGAAAAGGCACAATGGCAGGCTCTAGAGCCTTGAAGGTAGCTCATCAACTTAGGCTCATGTGAACACACAGCGGTAMAAAAMAAAAMAAAMAAAMAAAAAAAAAAAAAAAAAAAAAAAAACAGAAACATCCCAACTTTTGCCTCGCTTTCGAAAATTGAGAGATATGGACAAGGCTCTTGATTTCTTAGACTCTGCAGGGGAAGGAAAGTTGGAATTGTTGGAAGTACTCTCAATGCGATCCTTTTCATGACTTCCAATCGATTTTTGAATTTTTTTCACCAAGAGTGTAGTAAAGCCATATACCACTCTCAAAATATGAGGCATCGAGAGTAGTGGAGGGGAGACACAATTATCGACCCTACCTCTTGTGCGTCTCCCTTTGCCAACCCCTCAATGTCCTACCGCCAAAAAGTACATATGGTTGCCCAGGAACGGACTGGACTTCATAGGGCATATTGTTCATTTGCTAATCTTGGCGGCAACATGGCTATAAGAGCTTTATTTTTTCTCCCTTTTTCGGATAGATGGGTAGATTGAAAGAGAGACAATCTAACCAAAAAAAAAAGAGGGAGGGACATAATGGAGATGGGTATCAATTTTCAATGCCTTACTGTGCATACCTAATGTAAAGAGAGATAGAGTGAGAGAGGTTTTCATATTTGTTGCTAAACACTGTGTATCTTGGTTCTGTTGCGCATATTTCAGTGCCCATGCTGTGAAGTGCAACCTACAGGTTAGGGTACTACCATATTCACATGAATAAAACACTCGATCGTTATCGCTACATCTGTACTGAAAGTTGTGCAACTATAATGACAGGGCGTCTTATTCGATTGAAGACGGTGGCGTTGAAACATTGTTGCCCGCATCAGGCTACGAGTGCAAAGGTCACTCAAATGCCTTCCCGATCGTAACGCGGAAGCAAAAACGTAAAGCAAGCAAAATGAAGCAAAATAGCGGTGTCGCTCTAACCAAGCGTGTCACTTATACCTTTGACAATAGGACGAAGGTCTGGGAAGCATAACTTACCTCCTCCAAAAAGTTGCCAGCATCCTTCGGATATGTATACTCGTCAGGTTACTAATCCACATCGCGCAACTTTTACATTCAGTGTCAAATGCGAATCAACCAATTATATTTTGTAGTAGTTGGAATATAAGGCAAATCGTATGAACACGAGTTTTCGCTTAGAGCATTGATCTCCTAAGTCACTTGGCATCGCTCCTAACAATGCACATAAAATGTCACTAGTCAAATTGTTATCCCATATTTTTTTTATTTAACCAATGAAGACACGATGACTCACACGCTGTGGTTGATAAACTTTATCAATGGAAACTTTTAAGGAGTGACACAATGACATTTGCTCACAATAAATGAAACATAGCCTTTTGAGTTCTTTACGATTCTCAAGGATCAATTGAAGCATGCCACAAGGTGATTTTTTCATGATGTGAAATGACTGAGAAAACAGTCTACCCAACTTTGTATCATTTTGTCTTTCGAGCAAACCGTAGTGACCCGTAGTAACCCGGGAGTCCTTGTTTAGCTACCCTCATGCAAGATAATAAAGGGACTCGGTTTCCCAGGCATGGACCTAACCAGCAGACCAACAAATAGTTATCAATAAAAGGTTATAACCCTCCAGTAGTCTCAATTAGATAGGACGGTGGTTCTTTCATATATTTTACTTAACCATTTAGGACAATCCGCTCAACACAGTCAGTATAGTAGCATTATCAGGTCACACACCCGTTTTGTAGAAGAGTCTGTTAAAATGACCTCGACTTCAAAATACACAATATTTACGTGCATACAATGCAATGTATAGACCTTTTATCTTAAAATTGTCTACTAAAATAAGAAGTCTTAAACAATCATTGCCTTCAATCTTATTTTGGCAAATCTAAATTTCATTGCGCACCGAGTTTTTCCAAACTTGGGTCCTATTTTTATTTATAAACTGGTACTCACAGTCGTTACATCCTAAATAGAACGAAAAAAAAAGACATTTCGCACACGTCATGACAACCATCAGATACATTCTATGAGGTGTTAATAAGACTGTGCTCTCAGTGAGGGCATTTGTCCGTATGAAAAACGAATAGGGGACAAAAAAAAAACTTGTCTCTTATATTGTTATCGCAGTCCAATACAGGACGCTACATTGCAGGTGTGAGTATGACTTGATTGGGGCAGTCGGATGTCCCCAGTGGAATTCGCCTTACCAACGATAAACCAAAAGAAATAAAACAAAAACTACAACATACACAATCATATTCCGCACCTGCTAGCTAGATACATTCCTCAGAGCACTAGTTTGACTTCCACCTCATGAGGGGTTTTCCATAATTGCTGGTTTCGAAGTTATATATAAAAATATATATATTTTTGACACATTGTGACAGTCATCAAATACATTATATGAGGTGTTTGTGAGACTGTGCCCTCAGTGAGGGCATCTGTAAAAAAATGAATGATGGACAAAAAAAAAAAATTCCCATATGTTGTTATCGCTGTCCAATACAGGATGCTACAACGCAAGTGTGAGTATGACGTGAGTGACGTAGTTGGCTGCCCCCCGTGGAATCCGCCCTGCCTCAAGTGCAAAGCACCAATGATAAACGAAAACTAAGAAAACAAAAACCAAAACATACGCAATCACGTTCCCCACATGCTGGCCAGATACATTCCTTGGAGCACTAGTGTGACTTCCACCCTGTGAAGGACTTCCCCGAAGTCACTATCTTTAAAATTCTTAAGTTTTTTTTCCTCACTGCGAGATCGTGGGGTCCCAATTTTTTATTTTTTTTTGTCCTACCAACCCTACGGCGGACCCCTGAACTTTTCGGATGAGGTCACTTGCCAAAGTGGGACTACAGTTTGGAAAAGTGTTGATGGTTTAAGCCTCTTAGCAAATATAAAAAGTAATGGAAAATATAAACAAAACAATACGTTTTTGTTACTTTTGGTCTATCAACAAGCTACATATCTTTTTCATATACTATAAGCAAAACGTTGATAAGCATGGTTCATCATCATAAGGATTTATATTAAGCAAGTATGAGTAATTGTTTCATAATCTGAAGTCGCGAAAAAAAACGCAAATAAAATCAACCCTTTATTCACTTTGACCTTTTGCCTCACACATCCGAAAAACTTATGCAGATGAGTAATAATTTTTCTTCATACAATTGATCAAAGTCGAACTTAGTTACTCAATTACCCTTTATATGGGTAAAAATCTTTAAAGTAACGACTAACAAAGAAAAAAAAAAATGTATTTCCGTGTAAGATTGGTTTTATAATATGATTAT